AAGTGTTTTAATGTAGACAGGTCATAACACACTGAATACATAAAGCAACAAAACAAAAACTACTAATACACTAATCTAACTCTATGGACGATGACAAAAGGATCTTACGCTGGAAGGCTTGGAACACACAAGACAATCTGGCAACGAGACAGGGGAAGACGAGAACTATATATACTAGACAGACAACACCAGGTGAAGACAATTAGACAATCACAACCGTGGGAAAACAGACAAGGCAGGAAACGTACTTTAGACACATGAAGGTAGACAAGACTATCAAAATAAAACAGGAACCTATCTAAACACATAACATGAAACCTAAACTAGGGAACAATCTTAGCAGAGCCGTCTACGCACAACAGTACCCTCCCCTCTAGGGACGACACCTGACGGCCCTGGGACCTCCGGATGACACCTGTAGTAGTCCTCGATTAAGTCTTTGCCTACGATAAAACTGGACGGGACCCAGGACCGTTCTTCAGGACCGTAGCCCTCCCAATCAACCAGAAATTGATGACCTCGGCCTCGATTTCTCACTGACAGGAGACGTTTGACAGAGTACACCAGACCGCCATCAACAACACGGGGGGGGGGGGGGTTGGAGGGTGGAACCAGGGGACTGTCCAGAACCGGCTTGATTCGGCTGACGTGGAACGTTGGATGAACCCGTAGTGACCTGGGCAGACGGAGACGGACAGATACAGGATTGATTATTTTAGTGACAGGAAATGGACCCACAAACCTTGGAGCGAGCTTCTTTGACAAGACCCTGAGTGGCAGATCCTTTGTGGACAACCACACCCGCTGCCCCGGTCTGTATGTAGGAGCCGCCCGCCGCCGATGATCCTCCACCGTCTTCATCCGAGCCGAATTCCTCAGGAGGACCTGACGAGCTGCAGCCCAGACACGGTGGCATCTTCTGACTATGGCGTGAGCAGAAGGCACCACCACCTCCTTCTCAGTTTCTGAGAATAGAGGAGGCTGATAGCCAAAGACACAGTGAAAGGGAGACAGACCGGTAGCAGAGGTGGGCAAAGAGTTGCGTGCATACTCCACCCATGTCAGATGCTCGCTCCAGGGTTCTGAGAAACCAGGCAGCGCAGGCACGTCTCCAGCTCCTGATTCAGCCGTTCCGTCTGTCCGTTGGACTGGGGATGATAACCTGAGGTGAGGCTGACGGACGCTCCCAGGAGGGTGCAAAACTCCTTCCAGAACCTGGAGGAAAAGTGAGGACCTCGATCCGACACAATGTCTCTGGGAATACCATGAATACGGACAACATGAGTCAATAACGCCTGAGCAGTCTCTTTAGCTGACGGCAACTTTGGCATGGCAATAAAATGGACCATCTTAGAGAACCTGTCCACTACAGTGAGGACAGTGGTGTTACCCTTGGATGGAGGAAGACCCGTGACAAAATCCAACGAAATGTCAGACCAGGGCCTGCTGGGAACGGGGAGAGACTGCAGCAGTCCCATCTGTGATTTTGATGACGTCTTGTTCTTGGCACAAACTACACAGGCAGCCACATATTCGGAGACATCCTTAACCAAGGAAGGCCACCAAAACCTCTGTCGAACGACGAATACGGTCCGCTTGACCCCTGGATGACAAGTGAGCAGTAATGTGTGAGACCAATGAATAACCTGTGACCGCATGGATTCAGGCACGAATAGCCTGTCCAATGGACAGCCACTAGGTTTCGGCCCCTCACCATTGACACGTTTCACCTGATCTACTATAGGCCATGTCACCACCCCAACCACACGGGAGAGTGGAAGGATTGGCTCTGGGTCCTTGGCCATGGGCTCTGGGTCATGGAGGCGTGAGAGGACGTCAGGTTTGCCATTCTTGGACCCAGGTCTGAAAGACAATGTAAACTCAAAACGGTTAAAAAAAAGTTGCCATCGGGCCTGGCGTGAGTTCAACCTCTTAGCTTTGCGGATGTATTGAAGGTTCTTGTGGTCGGTCCAAACCAATAACGGCTGTGGCGCCCCCTCAAGCCAGTGCCTCCACTCCTCCAGAGCCATCTTGACTGCCAACAGCTCTCGGTTTCCGACGTCGTAGTTTCTCTCTGCGGGAGATAGTTTGCGAGACAAAAAGGCACAAGGATGCATCTTATGATCCCCAGCCGCTCTCTGTGAGAGAATGGCCCCCACCCCATCATTGGAGGCATCCACCTCCACAACAAACTGTCATTGAGGATCAGGAACAGTCAGTATGGGAGCTGTGGTAAACCTTCTTTTTAACTCATTAAAAGCCTCCTTGGCCCTGAGGCCCCACACAAAGTTAACCCCTGGTGAGGTCAGTGCATGAAGGGGAGCAGCAACAGAGCTAAAGTTCCTAATAAATCGTCTGTAGAAGTTAGCAAACCCCAAAAACTGCTGTACCTTCTTCCTATTGGTGGGGGTGGCCCAGTCTGCCACTACACTGACTTTTGCAGGGTCCATCAGGATTTGTCCAGGAGAAATGATGAACCCCAGGAATGAGACAGTTGATGCATGGAACTCACACTTCTCTGCTTTTACGAACAGGTGATTATCCAGTAGGCGCTGTAGTACTTGGTGGACATGTTGCACATGAGTCTCCTTATCAGGAGAGAAGATTAAAATGTCATTCAAATTAGGGCTGAACGATATACCGTGTCATGGCGATAACCGCGGTATGCGCATGCGCGGTATTCACACCGCAGGGACGTGCGGTTTTATTCATTTTTTTTAAATGCTAACGCACTTTAGCACAGAATTCAAAATAAAGATACCCTTATTACTTATCGAAACTGCACATACAATATATCCGATTAAAGCTGAGACTCCACAGATTATTTAAGTATAGTATCTAAGCGATCCGATCTCGCGACAGGGGAAGCAAACACAGACATCACAACACGTACCTTTTACGGAGCTTTTACGGGAGATCGTCTCACCGTAGCCAACACACTCTCACTCCCTAAGCGTCCAGGAGCGACGTTTGGTCAGTGTCCGTGGCGTCCAGTTGTGACGCTCCTAGGCTCCTTCAGCGTCATAAAGGGACACAAATAGCTTTCAACTGATTGCAATGTATTCCCATCTGCGGCGGGATTTGACGCTCATGGAAGCACGGCATTCGTTTGTGTCGGCTGCCCTTAAAGGCAATGTGAGCGTCCATTCCCATTGGATAACGGAGAATTGTACACCCGGAAGGAAGTATTCCTCTTACTGTCGATTGATTTTACAGTGATATCTGCACTACTCATCGACTAAAAAACACCAGATTATCCTTGTTAATTACACAACATTGATTGGTTTAAATTGTGTGCAATGCTTTTGTATTTTTCCCCTTCGATTCGGAGAAACAAATGTTTTTTCTGAGTAAAGGATGGCAGAAGACACTACACTACCCAGAATCCCCAGCTATCGTTTGGACTACACCATGTGCTCTATTTGACAAATCCCGTTTTTTTCACTATTCATTCTCCTCCTTATCTCTTTCATGACTTTTCATTTAATACATTTTAAACGCTGTAATCAATACTCCAAAAATACCTCACGGCTGGTATCATTTCCGGTAGTTGTCTCATGCTACCCACGTCTGTAAACAAACGTATTCAAATAAACTGTACCTTCATTTAATATTCAGCAATAATAATATCTTGACGTCTATAGTTGTAGTGTTGAAATCAGTAGGTTTCGGTGTGCAACACTCCATGTCATATCGCTACTAAATTCACCTCTATAGTAAATGGTATATTAGCCACATGCTAACCGGAGATGAAGGATTTTCAGAATAAAAGCTTAACAACTGGTTGTGCACAAGAACTTCTGGTTTTTCAGTATAAAACAACATTTAAACTGATGGTATGTTTAAGGTGCTTTATGCCATCAAAACATTGATTTTAATTTCGAACAAGTCCCATTCAAATCCCCCATGTTCCGCCACCTGCTGCACCTTTTAATTCTCCATTGTGATACTGCACTTTATGTACTTACGTTTCAAAGGCTTGTAAGCTACAGTTTGCACTGTTTCAATAAATGAAACAAATTTTCTCACCACATCTTTTGATTCATTTTGTCCAGCATTTGCAAGCTGTAGACTCTCTGTCAGAGCCATATATTGTATAATTGATGCTTTCAGTTTTCAGTTGAATTAATTCAATCCAAGTCAATGGAACACTCAAGATGTCACCAAATTCACTGTCCCTTTAAAATCTTTCAGAAAATGATATAAGTGTATCGAATTATATCGAATCGTATCGTTGGCTGAATATCGTGATATATATCGTATTGTGAGCTGAATATCGTGTATCGTATCGTATCGTGAGATTAGTGTATCGCTACAGCCCTACTAGTTAGGATGCCACCTGGGCGCCTCCCTAGGGAGGTGTTCCAGGCACGTCCAGCTGGGAAGAGACCAAGGGGTAGACCTAGGACCAGGTGGAGGGATTATATCTCTTCGCTGGCCTGGGAGCGCCTTGGGATCCCCCAGCACTCAAAAAAATAACTCTTTGAATGAACGTAATTAAATCATGGACAATATTTCCACATGATTAAATCACTTTCTTTCAAGATTAAGCAATTTGATTGGTCCAACTTAATTTACTTGGGTTGGGTCAACGCAATCTATTAGGATTGATACTACTTATTTATAAGGTGTGTTACCAACTTAATTTACTTGGGTTGGGTCAACGTAATCTATTAGGATTGATACTACTTATTTATAAGGTGTGTTACCAACTTAATTTACCTGGGTTGGGTCAACGTAATCTATTAGGGTTGATACTACATATTTATAAGGTGTGTTACCAACTTAATTTACCTGGGTTGGGTCAACGTAATTGCTTAAAGCTGAAAGAAAGCCATTTCATCATGTGGAAATACTGTCCATGATTTAATCAAGTTCATTCAAAGAATAACTTTTGAGTGTTTACATATTTAAAACATTTAGAGTGAACAGTAACAGAATTTCAACAGTCTACAGTCTAGTGAGCTTCAAGGGTGGAAACATAACACAAACGCGAGATGTTGAAATAAAATTGTATTTCACAAAATAGGCAAAGAGAAACAATGCTTCAGATGCTTGAAAAAATTAAGTTTCTTCCCAAATATTATATGAAATATAATACGAGGATGCATTCGCGTCTCACGTCATTGCTGTCAGTCTAAGTATGCAGATTAGAGAACATGCAATACAAAAAGCCCATTAAGAACACCATCTCAGCCAATAAGCAGACTGGCTTTCACTGTTATTAAATATAATATATATTTCACAAAATAGCTTTATACTGACAGATGCTTGAAAAAACACAGTTTCTTCCCAAATATTAAAATGTTTCAACTTTAGGGTGGACAGTATAACAAACTTGAATTTCAACAGTAGACCAAATAAGGCAACATGGTAACATCTGCCTCCTCGCACAGCCCTCTGCTCAGTGAGGTCCACGTAACCATACAGCCAACTTTGAATGCTTACTTTTATACTTCTTGCATACAATCAACATTTCTGTCAAAGAGGTGAGTCACCGAATCTCTGATGGCTGCGTGTTTGGAAGATGAGGCGATCCCAAACAGTGACATTAGGCACGGGAAAGCAATGTTTTGAGAACTTGTCCTTTTGTGGATAGTCTGTTTCCATCTAGCTCCATCATTATTTTCTGCAGTGTTTCAAATGAAAACTTCAGCTCTGGAGGGTAGCTCAAGTTTAGAGCATACACGAGAGCAAACATCATCGCCACCGCAAAAGATACGTTTCCCAACTCATCCAACACTTCGAGCCCCTCCAGAATGATCCCAACGTTCTCTGGGTCATCCCCAGGCTCTGCACCTTCGTGTCGAATGACAAATATTCCGAAGACCGTCTCTGCCATTGCCGTTTGACTGCTGTTGTCGATGCTCTGTGAAAAACAAATAAGGAGAGTGATTTTCACTGATGTGCATTACATCCCATTTCTATAATGTGTCATATTGAGCTTTATGTAGTTTGGGTTTTCCAAATTGAAAAAAAAGAAAGAACAAAAAACACTGTTTCCAAAAAGCATGAACACATCCAACATCATCAAAATGTAAAGGCAACATTTCCCTAAGGGTTAGTTTTAGAAGAAACACAATCCATTCCAACTATGATCATCCTCCTCTTTGTGAAGATAAAAAAGCTACATCAACATACCATGTTCACCAGCTTCTCTGGATCTTCATTGAAGTAGACACAAAGACCTTTGAGGATGCATTCGCGTCTCACGTCAATGCTGTCAGTCTAAGTATGCAGGTCAGAGAACATGCAATAAAAAAGCCCATTATGAACAACAAGCAGTCTGGGTTTCACCGTTTCACAAATGTTTTCTTTAAAACCCTGAATGTAACATTGCATTTTAATTAAATGGGTTTAGTCAGATAATATGCTATGCAATTTAAGCAATACATTTTTCTAAAAAAGGAAAATAATTAGTTGTTCATTTGAGAAGACCTGTCTTATTTTGAATATTTAAAATGGCTTTTTATTGAAGAAATACTTTTGCTTTAAAAAGCTAATCTGTTTCCAATTACTCGATTAATCAATGGAATAATTGATAGAATACTCGATTACTAAAATAATTGATAGCTGCAGTCATAGGCGGCGCGTGAGGCTCAGGTTTGGGAAGGCTAAATAACTTTTTTTACCTGACGCTGCCCGCCACCGGCGTGTATAGAAAATAGATCAACTCAGTGACCAATCAGAGCTCAGTGTGCGGAGTTTAAATCTATCACGTCATATTACAGGATAAAGGAAATACAGTTTAAACTGCCGTATGCAGGGGAGACGCCGACGTGTCGCACTTATCGTTCATATCACATCATCAATCAGATCATCGATCAGATAATATATATTTCCTTATCTGAGTCAGCTGAGCCGTATCTGGCCGTGCAACACTTACAGTGTCACATACTGTATGCAGAAGTATTATTTTAAGCAACACATTGGGTTGACGAAACACTCAACTCAAATGTAATTAAAGTCAGATCCACTCGTGTCTATGGGGCAGTGATATCATAAAACTGTTGTACGCTTTCAAACGCTCTGTAGTTTATTTATTTTTTAACCAGTTGTTCTATATTCACCTTGCAGGTGCAACTATGTGGCTTGTATCCTGGATTATATGTTTAAGTCATGGATGGTTAAAGCTCATATTTGTCTAATATTAGTTTACTTTTCATTACTGAAGTATGACGCTGCGCAGTACACTTGTCCCTGTGTGTGATTGGTCAAATGTAGCTAACCCCGCCCCTTTCACATGAATGCGCTCTCAGCTGGAGAGAGAATCCCTGGCTTGATTTACAGAGTTAATAACCAGCGTTGTAGGACCGCTTAGCGAGATCTCGTTTGTTAGGGTTAGTTAAGATAACTCAAACATATCCAGGGTCTGTTGAACTGGCTTCGTAGTACAGTTTACTGGTGGCTGCATAGCAGCGCTAATGTCAAAGACACAAACATTGTATTTTTATTTTACCAGGATGCAGTGACAAAAATATTTGCGAAGGCTTAGCCTTCCCTAGCCTACAGTACCCGCCGCCCCTGGCTGCAGCCCTACAGTACACTCAGTGACCATTGGGGTAGGAACATCTGCCATTTCCATGAAAGACTGTTGTCAGGGACAGCTTTGTAGTGCATTATTTTAGGCCTTCATAATAGTATGCCGCTCACTCTGATACAATGACCCCCACTGGGGGAATGGATGTGGTGCTAAGTGTCAAAAATAATATCGAAAACATAATGCTCCGGATGCTATGCTATTCACGGAACATCGCAGACTTTGTACAGCTCCTACAGTTTATTTGTCACCTTTACATTGTTTTCATACCTGGGTTATGGGAAGCATGATGCTTTTGATCTTCTTCCCTTGAACTCCACCTTTCTTGGTATACACGTCGATCAGGCTTGTAGAGTGAATATCCAGCGAAGAGAAGAACTTGGATTGCAAATTAATTGTTGTGATTCTCTTAAATTCTGCATTCACCTACAACAAAAAAACAAAACCCACAAAACTCAGATTGGCTATTTTGATGTCACTGTTCACAGGTTTGATTTAGCAGTTCAGTCCGTTTAAGACATGCAATTGCATAAATCATGTATTTACATTAGCAGATAAAAAGGCATAAAATACCTGAATGAATGGTAAATAAAGAATGCTGGAAATAACTGCATCTCCATTAGCCTATATGCGCTATGCAGAGACTGCCTTCTTCATGTTGTGAATTGCAGCTGATGTTTTAATATGGCAATTGGCAAAAGTTTGACATTTTACTCATACAATAACCCATCTTCGAGTGATGCTCTAGTTTCCAGCCTGCATGATCGGCCTGTAGGGAGGGACGTGTGTGTCTCACCTGATTGAGGGTCTTCTGCAGGTGTGGTGTGCCCATGCGTTCTGCAATGTGTCTGTACCCCGGGTGGGACAGGAAGAACTTCCTCTCAGCAGCCAAAGCAGCGCGGATGTCTTTCTTTCCATCAATGTCCTTCTGACTGCGGTTCACCACCCCGATGTAACCTAAAGAAAGACAAATATCAGTTGTTCAATGTGAGTTATGGAATAAAGACAAACGTTGATTCCAAAGCACTTGCGACCAAATATTAAATTATTATAACTTCTACAATTGGAGAACTGTTCACATCTGGAACAATACAAATAAAGCTGTTAGTCAATTTAACACCATAGTAATTGTTTAATTTCAATGTCAGGAATTACAGGGAAAATAATGCAGATTGATGATTTGCTGACCGCTAAAGAAAAGACACCCTGTTTTGGGTAGTATATAAAGTCTGTAAATATTGTAATGTAATAGCTGGATTCCAATCAAGGATTTAATAAAATGTGTGCGTGTGGGGGGGATCTCACCTCTGTGGAGCGGCAGTAGTTTGTTTTCCAGGATGTCTCGTGTGTCTGTCCCTTCATCCATCAGGTCCAGTTTGGTGATCACACCAATGGTCCATAGACCTAAAGACAAAAGCATCAATGCTAATACTGAATCTCTCGCTCTTATATATTCACACATGGGATTTTAGGATTCAAACAGATAATTGGAGGTGTGTGTGTGTGCTGCATGTAGCAGTCACGTGTGTAAACTGCCCCGCCCCCTCGCACAGAGACGCTGGATTGGAAAGATCGAAAATACTCAAAATAATCAGACGCATTTTGCAGACTTTTTGCATATTAAAAACGGAGTTGGCAAAACTAAAACTGCAATATAATGTTTGTGTAGCATAATACATATAACATGTTTTAAATATCTCCAGTACGATACAAAGACTGATAACATTGGAGCTTAATGGCACCAGAGTCTTTAATAATTAATTCCCGGGACTCCTTTGATTAACACCGGGGCTCGGTACCCTACTGAATTGTTACATTATCCTATATTACTCAAAGTTGAAGTGCTTGTTTTTGCCACTGATAGGCACACGTATTATTATTATTAAGTGCCTGACAACATTATTACTGAAAATGTGTGGACATCAATATTTAAAATCGAGGAATATTAAGGAAACGTTGCCGATTTTCAGCCGGCTCTTTGTCACTGCAGTGCAGGCAGCATGTAGGTTACTGGCCCGGGGGTGCAGTTACACAGAGCCGAACATAACTATATGCTGAGCAGGGAGAGCTAGCGGAGACAGAGAGTGCGACTACCGACACTGGCAGAGCGGCACCCGTCACGTAACTTTAACTGCAGAGCGAAAACCACAGTGGCAGTCAGCTCCGCATGGCAGCTAGCTTGGCAGCTAATTTACGTGACGCAGCCGAATAACGGCGCAACATTCCTTTATAAAAGGGGCTGATATTACTGACATATAAGCGCCTGGGGTAGCACACTTCTCGTTTAACTTTCTCAGGGTAATGCTTCCGTCATTTAGTTTTCAATCCTGATATTCTATATTTGAACCATCTCCCTAACTGGCAGTTACACAGACTAGCTAGTTAACGACGTTAGCTTTAGCATGTTCGTCGGCTCATTCGGCTTTTTAAGTGAGATAAAAAAGAACACTAAATAGCAAATTAACTATCAACGTTACCACAATATCGCTCATGGACTAGCAGTTGATGACATTTATTAACAGCTTCACAGTTAGATGACAATGTTTTCTGCTTACCTCCTCCAACTTTCGCCATCGGTCTTTCTTGTCTCAATGATCCTCTCTCGCGATGATGATGGTTAAGTTTACGGTTAAGCCCAAATATCGCGAGTGCACACAGGATGCAGGGAAAAACCTTTCCCGCCAGATCGCGGACAAAATAATACAATGACAGAGTCTGGCAGAGTTCTCTTAATACATCCATGGAAGTGTCCAAGAGCAGTCAAGAATGTAGCATGTCTTATTGTTTGTCGTTTCACATCTTTACAACCGTGAACATTTAAAAGTAGATTGATTTTTGTCTCTGATTACATTAGTTGGTATCCAGTTTATTGGTGGTTATACCGCCACCTTCTGCTCTGGAGTGGGAATCATATGTACCCTAATCCCTTTGTGTCAGTTTATCTCAACATGAATGAATCTAATAAATGTGTAGTTGTTGCGATTCATGCAAACCATACATGTTTTCATCACGTTCATCTTGGAAACATGAAATTATTACGTTGAAAATACATGTTACATTTTATTTGATGTAACAGCCAGCCAAAGTCCTTTTTTTGAGTGAGAGCTGGTTGATGTCGCCAGGGAAAAGAAAGTTTGGGGCTCTCTGCTGGAACTGCTACCCCCGCGACCCGACCACGGATAACCGGGAGAAGATGGATGGATGGATGGTGTATTTTCAAATTCTAGCACACTTGAGCTGGTTTCTCCAAAATTACCTACCCCGCCTTTAATTATCTCAAAGGGTCTGAATAGCTCTAAGGTTGTGGCAGTGTTGTAGTCAAGTCACCAATTCACGAGTCCAAGTCACTCTCGAGTCACCACTCTTCGAGTCTGACTCCAAGTCCGAGTCACCAAGGGAGAGTCGTAGTCTAGTCCGAGTCACCAAGGGAGAGTCGTAGTCGAGTCCAGATTCGAGTCACCCAAGGAGTGTCCGAGTCGAGTCCGAGTCATCATTACCTGTGTTCGAGTCCAAGTCCGAGTCACCCAAGGAGTGTCTGAGTCGAGTCCGAGTCATCATTACCTGTGTTCGAGTCCAAGTCCGAGTCACCCAAGAAGTGTCCAAGTCAAGTCCGAGTCACAAGTCTTCATGTATTAATCTTCATGGATATATGTGTTGAAATGTAGCTGCTCCTCTACATTGCTTTTATCCTGTCATGTTATACTAATCTGTCTATTGAACTGCTGTGAAGCGAGTTTGGCTACAATTCTTGTAATAGGTGCTATACAAACAAAATGTCTAACTATATTTAAAATGTGTGATTATATTTGTATGCCAATATAAAGTTATCGTTTTGCACTTTTATTTTGATAGTAATAAGATCGGGACTCTTATTTTGAAGGAACTTTTGCTGGAAGTCAATGGACAACAGAGCAGTGTAAACACACATGTATAATGACAGAACATTAACATATTAGTTGCATTCGGTTTTTAGCACCTGGCTGATAAGGGCACAAGCTCTTACGTTGGTAATGATTGTATAGAAGCAAGGGTGATCAATAAACAGATACCATCAGTAGAGAGTCTGACCATCATTCAGCCGGGGACGCTACAATTATTATAGTGAATGTTTAAATTCTATCAATAAAGATTAAGCCCCAGAAAGCACATGGCTACTTAGCATGCAAAATTACGTCATTCTGCTGTAGCCTTGTGCTTTCGTGTTATCGGCTGAATCTTTATTTATTGATTAGGTCACGTTACTCTAATGATAGTGTTCAAGATATATGTCTGAACTCGATCCTTAGAGTAATGTGTTACGGAGCCTTCTCTTCAATATTTTTTCCACATAACGAGCATTTTGCGCTGCTCTTTTCCAATGTGGAAGCAGAATGTATGAAAGCATACAGCACGATTCGGGGTGTGTCTCTAGACATCTTTAGACTGGAATAGCGGGGCCCAGTACGTGAACTTGCCTCGCAGGTGCACACGCCAGGATAGAGGACATCAGACTCCAGAGAAAACTTGCTCGAGTCCGAGTCCAAGTCGGATTGTCAATGTACAAGTCGAGTCCGAGTCATCGTGGGGGGGAAAATTCACGAGTCATCGTACGCAAGAATGAATGAGTCCGAGTCGAGTCACGAGTCCCGAAAATCGGCACTCGAGTACTCCATCTCTGGGTTGTGGTGACTGATGTTGCACTCTCTGATCATTCCTGTGTTTTCTTTGAGAGCTTCTGTTCACAACATTTTTCAAAAAGAGGTAAACACAAAACAATATTTAACTGAAATTACTAGGGAAATGTTTACTCAGAATCTTTCTTCCACACTTGCCCCTGCTAACATCTCAGTAAATGAGCTAGTAGATCATTTTAATTCAAAAATTAAAAATGTTATAGATGCTATTGCTCCAACTAAGGTAAAGGAAGTGACTGGGAAGAAAATATCTCCATGGAGAAAGGCCATGACCATGAAAACAGAAAAAAGAGAGTGTCGAAAGCTGAACGCAGGTGGCGAAAAATAAATCTCCAGGTTCACTTTGAAATCTATAAAGAGAGACTTGGTCTTTATAATTTGGAATTGAAAATTGCACGACAGTCTTTCTTCTCTGACATCATTGCCAAAAACAAAAACAAGGCACGTGCCTTGTTTGCTACCGTCGACAGACTAACTAACCCCCAGTGTCAGTAGCCTCTGAATTTCTATCCACCAGGGCCTGCAATGATTTTGCCTCCTTTTTCACTGACAAAATTCAGAAAATTAGACAAGCAGTCAGTGCCTCTGTATCAGGTACAGCAAATGTGTTGTCTCTGTGTCCACTTAAAATCACCATGACACAATTCCATCGGATTAATGATAAAATCCTAGAGGACATTATCAACTTCTGAAATCCTCCTCCTGCTGCCTTGATATGATTCCAACAGGATTTTTCAAAAATGTTGCATGGCCTCAGATCTACTTCATATAGTAAACAAGTCTCTTCACTCAGGTGTTTTTCCACTGGCCCTAAAAACGGCAATCATTAAACCGCTCTTTAAAAAAAACAATCTAGATGCTTCAGTCTAGATGCTTTATTTTCCTGGATAAATAAAGGTTCTACTACTACTACTACTACTACTACTACTACTACTACTACTACTACTACTACTACTACTACTACTACTACTACTACTACTACTACTACTACTACTACTTCAGTAATGAACAATTACAGGCCCATATCAAACCTCCCATTTCTAGGTAAAATCATTGAAAAAGTTTTTTTTCAACAGTTGAGTAATTTCTTTCATTTAAATAACTGTTTGGATGTGTTCCAGTCAGGCTTTCGTCCAAACCACAGCACTGAGACTGCTCTTGTAAAGGTCTTCAATGACATCCACTTAAACACAGACAGTGGAAGAACTTCAGTGTTAGTATTATTAGATCTCAGTGCTGCGTTTGACACTGTTGACCACAGCATATTATTAGACCGACTGGAAAACTGGGTGGGACTTTCGGCAACAGTTCTAAATTGGTTTGAATCCTACTTAAAGGACAGAAACTACTTTGTTTCTATAGGTAATTACACATCTGAGTTGACAAATATGACATTTGGGGATATAGCGATATATATCCATGGTGGGGAAAAAATCGCAATGTCAGTTTTTTCCAATATCGGGCAGCCCTAGCTCAGATAATGAAAAACAACAAAATAAGTTACCATAGCTATGCGGATGATACCAACATTTACATAACCATTTCACCAGGAGACTATGCTCCAATTCAAACACTGAGTAAGTGCATTGAACAAATCAATGACTGGAGGTGTCAGAACTTTCTCCAATTAAACAAAGGAAAACTGAGGTAATGGTTTTTGGAGCCAAGGCAGAACGTATAAAAGTTAGCGCTGAGCTTCAGTGTGCAATGTTCAAAACAACAGATAAAGCCAGAAATCTAGGTGTAGTCATGGACTCTGACCTGAGTTTCAACAGTCACATTAAAACTGTTACTAAATCAGCCTACTATCACCTAAAGAACATATCTAGGATTAAAAGACTAATGTCACATCAGGATTTGTAATCTTGTAGTTTTCAGCAGACTCGACTACTGCAATGGTGTCTTCACAGGTCTCACAAAAAATCTATTAGAAAGCTGCAGCTAATTCAGAACGCTGCTGCTCGAGTCCTCACTAACACTAAGAAAGTGGATCACATCACTGTTCTGAAGTCTTTACACTGGCTTCCTGTGTGTCAAATAATTCATTTCAAAATACTGCTGCTGGTTTATAAAGCACTGAATGGTTTAGGCCCAAAATACATTTCTGACCTCCTGCTAAATTATGAACCATCCAGATCTCTCAGGTCTTCAGGGACTGGTCAGCTTTCTGTCCCCAGAGTCAGAACTAAACATGGAGAAGCAGCGTTCAGTTATTATGCTCCAAATATCTGGAACAAACTCCCAGAAACCTGCAGGTCTGCTGCAACTCTGACTACTTTTAAATCCAGGCTGAAGACTTTTCTTTTTGCCGCTGCTTTTAAATGATATATTCATATTTTAAACTGCACTGTAACCTTTATTATCTTTGCTTTTAAATTAGTGTTTTTAAATTTCATTTTATATCATTGCTTTTAAATGAGTGTTTTTAGATATCATTTTATAATATGTTTCTTAATGATCTTAATGTCTTTCATTTTTGTAAAGCACTTTGAATTGCCTTGTGTTGAAAGGTGCTATAAATAAACTTGCCCTGCCTTGCCTTGCCTTTTGTCTTTAACTCTCATCATTCCGAAGACCCATTTCTTCCTTCTCCAGGTATGTCCAAAGCGTCCACACAAAAAAAAAATCATAACATCATCTTAGTTAACAACAAAATGCACACAAATTACAGTAACAATTGTTGTACATCATGTTTCAAAATGCCATACTTTTTATTAGGTGCATTGTATAACATAATTTAAGGATAATTATACAGTAATGGTCCATATTGATATATATTTTAATTTTCTTGTACAAGATAGCCCAGTCTATAACTGCCAAACATAGGAACTGGGTACAGTACCTTCTACCAGACACAAATACTCAAATAAAATAGTTTACTTTATCGGCATTGGTATTACCAATGCTTACTATTTATTTGATACCAATTTGGAAATACAATTAATAAAAAGAACAAGGTTTGGGTTCGTTCTTTAGATATGACTGTGATATTAAGTGTAAGCTCAATAATGAACTCCAGCTCAACCAACCATATTGTAATATCTAAGTAATCATATTGAAATATGACATTATTATTTGTAAAATACACACATCTTATTGTGAGGTTGATTTCACATACACTACGCCGCTCTTCAACACTACTTTGACGTTAGCTTGTCTACATAATCGAGCATAGCGAATTTAAATTAACCTTAGCAGTTACCTACCTAATAAAATATCTCTCTAACTTAGAAGGATGACCTTATTTGACCAATCCCAAACAGAAGCCGTTTATTCTACAGTATTATCACACTTCACTATTACGTTTTAACTTGGAGGCTACGATTAGCATCGTTAGCACAGATGTAGCTACCACTTGCTTACATGCTAAGTATCCCAAGCCTTAACATTCATTAACGTTAGCTGACTGAAAACATAAGCAACACATAAATAAAGTACTTCAATTTCACTCACCGCAAAACCGCATTCATGCACCGTCTGTTTTAAACGCGGAGCGAGTCACAATAGTACATTATAAGCATGAAGAATAGTCCACAAGGCACCAGCACAACAAACACGGCCGAGTTCAAGTTATGTTCCCCGGATGAGCTGAGCAGGCATAGTCCCTGTAGCATCACGGAGCTGCTAGCAGAGAGACAGGAAGCTAACAACAGCAGTCACTGGACAGACCTGTCACTCAATGTGACCACGCCCTAATTTATGCATAACTTTAAGGCTTAATATAACTTAAACAAATTATAAATGGTAGAAACTCATTAATAAATGTTGATTTGTTTAACACTTTACAAGGCTCCCTTTTGGCAGTTATAAATGTTAACTCATAAATAAATGGTCATAAAGAGATGCCAAGAAACATCAAGATGGAAGAGGGGAGAATCAACTCAGTGAACAACAAATACCAAGGATGTTGGCTGATGAAGAAGACGAAGTATGCTAGGTAGCCAGTATAAGGCTTAGTCATCTTGCAAAAATAGTGAGCCTGTGTTGATGTATGAAAACTATGTTAGAACTGGTTTATAAATGGTTCTTAATGATTAATAAAGTGTTTACAACCTAATTAATAACCTAATTATAAACCCTTTATGAATCCTTTATAAGGGTAGTCTTATTGTAAAGTGGTACCAAAATATTTATAATCAAATATCATTTAAAGTCAAGTTTATAGTGCTATTTGCAGATTATTATGTTCAAATCATTGTAGAAAGTGTTACTGAAATATTAAAGTTACAGCTATGAAATGTTCTCCATTATTACAGATTACACTGGCAAAATGTAATTTAGATCGTATTTGCTTCACCTTAAAATTCTGTAAGTAACAAAAACACCACAATATATTTTATCATTCTGTACATCATAACATAACATTCTGATGTTAGTATGAACACATTTTGAATGCAGACATTTACTTTAAGTTTAGATTTTTACGATATCAAGTACATTTCATACATACTGTATATCCACCATTGACACATAATAGGGTTGAAGTTGATCAGTAACAACCTTAGCCTAAAGCCTGATCTGTTCTCATTAAAGAAGATCAGCAGTAGTGTTGGCAACTTATTTAAACCAATAACTGACTAATTTGCAACATTAATTAAGAAGATCCTCAACTAAATCAGCCTCCTTCTGATGACCTTCTCTAAAATAACTTTTCTATTCCTTTTAGCAACACGTGGGATTGAGATGCCCCTCATATAACGTGTAACAGTTTGGAGGAATTCGTTTTTGCTGCCAATTGGAACTCCATACATGGTGTGTGGACTGGTGTCGACATGTTCCATAAAAAAAGAAGTGCCCTCGTGAGGTCACGGTGGGTCCAGCTGTCCAGGGGGTCGAACATTGTCACCCACACACTGACCCCGTACGTGGCCTGGCTATTGATAACACCACACTCTGCACTCTGGCCTGTAAGAGCTTTTAAGAAGAACTTAATCAGCCGGAGACGATTCCTCACAGGTGGCAGCACGGCTCCAGGGATCTCAGAGTTTCATCAAATGTTTCATTTGGTTGTTTTTCTCCCAGTTCCACTGATGACAGCTGAGGTTCACAGAAAGCGGGCACTACTGTGACTCATGTGATCATCTCTGTGTATTATTTATTCCTGCTGCTGTCTGGTATTCAAGTATTACATTCACTTTGATAATAGGTAATAAAAATGCGCTACCAACAATTTCAATCTGCATGCTGCGACACTGGAGTAAAATGGGTTCAATTTAAGATGCTATACACAAGAGTCATTTCAGCATGTTCGATCTGTTTTTTCTTACATTTAGGATTTAGTGACAGTTAAACAAACTTTGGTTGATTTTATTTTGCAATGCATTGACAATAAATAAACATTTAAACCGGTTTAGCAATAAGTATTACATTTCAGAGAAAAAGAGTTTGCAATTCAAGTTTTTTTTATATTGTAGGTTATTGCTTTTTTGTATCTAAGCAATTTAACCACCAAAGTTAAGCATCGGTATCAAACACACACTGAATCATTGCACATGTTTTTCATGGATTAGTACTAAATCTAGTTTATGCCAGTTGAAGAAAATCCATCAATCCTACCGTCCATTATATTATATCCACGGTGATTTCAATCAATCAATCAATATTTATTTTGATTTAGACAAAAGCATGACAAATGTGATCATATATGCTGATTATTGTACATTTAAATGATCAAGATATTTATCCGGCACACTTTTAGAGACAATGTTATAATTTCAAAAGCATGTATCACAATTTAATAATTTCAAGACCAAAAGTCCTCATCAAAATGAAAGTCCACCAATGTATGCATTAAAGTACCTTACAAAAGAAATCCTCTAATGCTGTCTATATATATATGATATGAGTAAATGTATCTTTATTTGGACAAAAAAATATGAAATATTGGCTTTAATTAAATGTATTATGTCAATAAATTACACATAACTGTATTAGGTTAGTTGAATGCAATGATATTAAGTTTAAATAAAACATATTAGGTTCAACTTAATATTATTTATTTAACCTAACCTGATACAATTATGTGCAATTTGTTGACATAATACATTTAATTCAACTCAACATTTCAGTTTTTTCAGTTTGACCTCAAGCCATTATGTTACATCATTACAGTAACGTGCTGTGGTGTGCAGTCTTTAGGTTCATGGCAGAAAATGTTGACAGAATACTAACTAGTTCCTTTGGGAATTATATGAAATATATTCTTAAATCTGGTGAGGACATTTGAGAATATTCTTCCCCACTTCTTCCCCGCTTTGTCGTTGAATGCCTTGTCTCTGAGATACCAAACCGTTGGATAAATCACTTGCATGTGAAACAGCGATGTACAGTTTATTATATACACCTTACTCAAGTTGAATTAATGGCTGTCACTTGGATCTAGACTGAAAACACTGAAACATTGACTTTAATTAAATGTATTGTATTGTAACTGTTTTAGGTTAGTTGAATGCAATAAAAACAAGTTTAATTTGATAGTATTGCTTTCAACTAACTTAATACAGTTATGTGTAATCTGTTGACATAAAACATTTAACTAAAGTCAACGTTTCAGTTTTTTCAGTGTAATCCCTTTGGACGGGTATGAAATCTGTGTTACGAGCAGAGTTTCTGTTGGATCCAAGCCCCCACAGTCGATTCTCCAGCAGTGTGCAAATGCTTGCCGTAGGCCTTCCCCACCAGAAACAGCACCTCTGCGATGTTGAGTATAATACAAACCCCCGACACAGCCAGCATGAACACGGTGAACACAGTTTTCTCGGTGGGCCTCGACACGAAGCAGTCCACCGTGTTGGGACAGGGGTACGAGTCACACTTCACCAGCCGGATCATCTTGTACCCAGGGTAGATCATGTAAAACAAATACATAAAGGTGACCTCAAAGCCGATGCGGAAAAACAGGCTGATGACGTACGTCCACCAGAGAGCCCCTGAGATTTTCATCTTCTGGGTCTTTATCATCTCCAGGTCTTTGGGGTTGGATCGCCCTGACAGTTTGTAGATCCTCTTGTCCACGTGGCGGCGGTGGGCCACGTGCATGGCCACCAACAAGGCAGGGGTAGAGACCAGGATGAGCTGCAGCGCCCAGAGGCGGATGTGGGAGATGGGGAAGAAGTGGTCGTAGCAGACGCTGTTGCAGCCCGGCTGCTGGGTGTTGCAGGTGAAGCCCGACTTCTCGTCGCCCCATACGCTCTCCGCCGCCACCACCAGGACCAGGATGCGGAAAATGAAGAGGACAGAGAGCCAGATGCGACCGATGCCTGTGGAGTGTCTGTTCACCCCGCTGATGACAGCATAAAACGATGCCCAGTTCATCTTTAGTTCCGGGTCTGATGGAGAACACATCATAGGACAAACAGCTGAGAAAGCATTGTGACGAATAAGCTTTTCCAGGACGAAAGGAATATAGTGAAACACAGGACAAAAGCCTAAGGCATTGAGGAACAGAAGAACAAATGAAATCCTCAAAAAAAAGGTTAAAAATAACACACACCAATAAACAGAGAACAATACAAATATATATTACAACAAAAACAAACGTTTTCCACACTAACATTTGTATTATCTCCCTCGTTTTGGGTCTTACTCTATAAAACTACAAAAATGAAACCACACTTCCCTTGATAATTATGAGGCCTTGCGATTAGATATTTAACTAATAATGTTTCCTTTTGCCACAGCCACACTTTTATCAAAGATTCAGGGAAATAGAAGCTGGGGCGTGCAATCTGGGGAAATTGGAATAGGAAAATACATTATAACATTTACGCATCTCCTTAAACGCAGATAGCTTAACATATTTAGTTGAAATATTTTTCCAAGCTGCTTCAATCTGGCCCCCTTTTTCAGAGAAGATTTAAAAAAAAGCTGAAAATAGAATGCATTCGCACTGAAAACAAAATAATGATGAATTAGTTCATTGACAGTTGACTTTTAAATTAAATGTCAATCAACAATTGCTAAATCAAGCTACTATTAGGAGATTTTTCTTTCAAGCAAAATACCAAGTGTTGTATGGTTCCAGGTGTTCCTTGCTCTGCGTGATGAACTAAATATTTTTGGGCTTTTGACGTCGGTCCGTCAAAACAAGTGATTTTAAGAGGTAAGGGGACCTCTTAAAATCACTTGTTTTGACGGACCGACGTCAAAAGCCCAAAAATATTTAGTACCTCATGATTTTGTGATCACCATTTTTAAATATTTATCAAAGTTCAAGCAATTAACAGAATAACTGTGTAAGAAATTGGCAGATAAATAGATAGTAAGAATAACATCGAAGCATCACAGTTAAAAAGTGACAAGTTCAATTTCTAATCTTCTCAACAGTCTTATCCGATGCTTCATTAAAAGATTATTAAAGAAGCTAAAATTTTTAAGAAGCAAACCTGAAAACAAAACTGCAGCCTAAGAGTACTATTTTAGATAAAAGTTCACGTAACATTAAATATAGTTCTTTGGATGCTTCCAAAGTAATACCTTTCTTACTTTTTCTTCATCTTAGTAAAATGTTCCAAGTCCAGAAATAATTTCTAACAAAAGCATCAAATAGTTTTTCATCTCCTCTGCGCTGATCATTATTAATTGTGCTGAGTCCCCAACATGTCTGAATATCCAGACGAGTATAAAAGTGAGAGTTGTTACCCGGCTCAGCAGGAGGTGTAAGAGGCATAGGAGGCAGCGTAGAGGACAGTGTTGAGCTGCTGGTGTGGCATGGATGTGAATCCAGAGGAGAAGGAAGCCTCTCTGCCCCCCTCAGCAGTTGGCAGGCCACTTAAGAGTGCAACACTGAATTCTGGCACCATGCGTCATGTGACATGCTTTCATCAGTCGCAATGTTGTAGCAATCAAAGAGGGCATCAGTGGCCAATGTATCGGTGTCCGTATTGCCCTCAATTCTTGGAAAATTGTTTGTGATCCAAAAGTGTTGTGCATTAAATAAGAAATGTTCTAGTGCTAAACTCATGATACAGAGATTCTGAACTTGGTGAGTAAGGGACCGCAGTAAATGTTATTTCGTATGATTGTCACTATAACAATGGCACATTTGTCTTTGGTTAAAATATCTCAAGTAACAGTTTTTTAATGTGACTTTAACTGAACATCCAAAGAGTTTTCCAAACATCTCAGCCACTTTAAGACACATATTTAACCATCCCAACACAAACTGTCTCTCTTGTCCTGAGCTGTATGATCTGAGTTAGAAATGGAGCACACTTACCTTCAGTTGTATTTTGGAATAAAGCACATCCAGCTGCATTTACGTTGACATTAGCAGATTTTTGTTTTTTGTCAATCCGTTACTGTGAACAAGAGTGTCATAGTACCATGACTTTGCATTGCTAATGATTTCCCTCACACTAGCCACTGCCCTGCACTGGAGAGGTCATATGCCGCTGTGCGCAATATTTGCATACAATAGCCCCATTGACAGACACCAAACAACCAGCTTCAGAGTTCAGATCAAACGCTTTAATTTGGGGTCAGCTGAGGAATCTGTGTGGGGACTGCAGTCTGTCCTCCCGTCCTCATTGTGCTGTGTTCTGCATGGGAAGTGATGGGTGTTTTTGACGCAATAAGGAGTAAAGCATAAAAGGTCTAAAACAAAGAATGACCCATAACATCTAAAGATAAGAGAACAAGGGTGTATTATCATTATTATTATCTAGCTTTTTCGCCTCAACCTTTACATTCACATTGTTGCCCGCCTAACATCTAACCGCTGACTCAACCTGCTCACTGTGAACTCAATGAGGCCACACTTTGACGTATTTTCCTTGGAATATTTTTTTTTTACAATGATGCCACTAGCAGATGCCAATTCAAATACTACCTTCAATAACCTAAACTAAATGTAAATCTACATATGTTTAATGCATTTATACAAAATCCACACAAGCATTTTTTCAATAAAATTAAAAAGGCAGTTTGCAGAATCAAACCATTCAATTATAGCCATTTTGATGAAATGTTTATTAATTATTGGTCAAAGTACAATAACGAGCATTTTCCTGCTCTCTTTCTCGATACAAAGTTGGGGTTTGAGATAATTTAAACTTTAATTTGGACAGAGTTGGACATCTTCAGAGTCACCTGTAGAATAACGGTTACCTCGCATTAGGTTTTGAATGCCCTTCTCTTTTTTGTTAGTGTGATTGTTCAGTTTAATACACTAGAATGCTTTGTAGATACTAAAGAAAGGAGACATGATTTAACATTTTATTTATGCATTCAGTTGTGTTTCTTCCTTTAAGAAATCTCTGACAGCATTCAGGCACCTCCACCTGAATGTAATGGTTAATGATGCGACTGTGGGATTTGAACCTTTGCTGCTTTTATCAGGCGATACAAGACATCAAAGGGGTTCAGATCCAGCAGCGTCATTACACGGCATAATCAAAGCGTCAGCAACGACCACATTTTCTTATGGTCGTAAACATAATCACATCTACCAAACTTATCTCAAACAGCATCTGCAGCAGCATGAAGGGAAACTAACTTCATTTCTGATATGTAGCCAAACCCTAAGGGCCATATCTTACACATATGTCATTGCTGGTTTCAGACTGATTTGTTATTTTCACGCAAGCTGTCTTTAAAACAAATGCACTTGCATCCATGTTCCCCCATGGAAGTGAGGTGTGGTCACAGGCATTGTTGGGGCATTGTTATCTCGAGGCAGCAAAAGCAGCCACACTGTTAAGTAGTAGAGAGCCCAATATTAATCCTTGTGGGACACCGTTATCAACAAGTGGAATTAATTGGAAGCTTTGTCAAAAACAGTGTAAACCCTTCGAGAAAGATGTCATCTGAAGAAGCATATTTTGCTAAATCAATGGAAACCACAATTTCTTTATATGAAATGGTTTCAAAGGCAAGACACATTTTAAATCAGCGCAATGTCCATACACTTACAAAAAGCAGCAAACATTGCGTAAGTGGAAATGCTGGTAAGGGTAATGCTGAATTGTAAGAACACATTTACTCAAGAACTGTGCTTATAGTATATTCTATAACACATAGGTGTGAGCAAGCTCTCTGATTGGTCAATAGGCGTGTTTGATTCCACGATCAAAGAACGGTCAAATAGAACGTGCCTTTTCACAACAAGTCAGTATCCCTCCGCGTCTGAGAAAAACGGTATACCCTTGGCCTGAAAAGCAAACTGCTTGCAGTACTGCTCCAGTACAGGCGTACGGACCTCGGCGCAAGCGCCTCGGTCCTGCCGCAGTACTGTCGTACCAATAATGACGTTAAAGAACGGCCTCTCGTGTATGATTGCTTAAGTATAATGTGATGTACATGTACTTTCTTGATACTTCACAACATTTTTGGAACAAATATTGTGAAACTTTTTTCCCCACTTCATATAACTGATAACTTTAATAACATACAAATTAACTAATAAATGATCATACATTATAACAGATTAAGCTACCAAGCAGTGTGTTAAAATAAGCACCATATTTAACCTGTTAAACCCCAAGGTCCCCGCCGGCGGGGACCCTGTTTTTTTTTTTCACGACACTGTGTCTCAGGGGATCTTAATATTTAAGAACCTATTAATGTGTTATACCAGATTAACGGGAATAATCTCAGCTAACTGACGATACAAACCATTTTTACCAAAACAAAACACAAGTCTCATAAGAAGCATCTAAATGACCCCTTAGCGAAAAATGCTAACGGACATTGGCACAGAACTCAAGATAAAAGTACCCTTATTACTTATCGTAGTTGCACATACAAGATATCCGATTAAAGATGAGGTTCCACAGATTATTTAGATATATAGTATCATTACTGAGTGATCCGAACTCGCGACAGGGGAAGCAAACACAGACATCACAACACGTACCTTTACGGAGCTTTTACGGGAGATCGTCTCACCGTAGCCAACACACTCTCACTCAAGCGTCCAGGAGCGACGTTTCAATCTGATCAAAAGACGTGTTCAATGGCATTACAATGAGAAAAAACGCGGCTGAATCGGTTAATCCATAGGTTTTTAACGTCTCTGTATAAAAAAATTATTTCATTTATAATCCATAATTCAATTTTTATGTAAAAATCGCAGAGCAAAAGTTAGCTGCTAATGGTAGCCACCAGAGTGGCTGCTGCTTCCGGTCTTGGCTATGCGGCAGTCTAATACACAACCATTACCAAATAAGGACTATGTGTGAGTTCCCCTCGATTCCATTGGCTCTGACGGTTAGAAAGATATGTCACATGTCAAAATCCTGCAAGGGGGGCCAGAGATATGGAAAATCCACCAAAATGGTCCCAGAAGAGGTTTTCTTTTGCTAAATCTGTCTAAAAAGGTCAAATATCACTTGTTTTGCATCAATATTGATACAGCGTACTTATTATATGTTGTACTTTGGATTCCTAAAGCTTTTAGTCTACTAACCCATCATTCAAGGTTAGTTTTCACTATAAGTACAACTAGTGGCGTGCACAGACATTTATAGGGGCAGGTGCTCAAGAGAAAAAAAAGGGCACCTTCTGAGTCGTCGTGGCGGTCTGGCGTTCGCCCGCGCGCGAAATTGTGCGCGGAAATTTGCCAGATAATGGCGGATTTTGTTAGTTTCTTTTCGGTTTTTGGTTACTCCTTCCATCTCTCCCTCATTTTGGTCATCATCAGAGAGCACTGTTTCTGAACATGGTGCTGCTCTGGACATTTCTGCTTCATCTGTGTCATCTGTGAGATATTTTCTATGGATTTGTCTCCCTCATCTTAGATGGACTATTGCAGGACAGCAGGGGGCTGCTTCCCTGAGCCTGCTGTAGCAGCCTAGAATACAAACAATATAGAATATGATGTTTATTTCAATTATTTGGGTAAGGCAATGCAATGCATGATAACATTAAGACTCACCAGACTTTAACTGTCATGGCCAAAATTCAACACCCTACCACATAGTTGTTGTTTTTTTGTCATTTGGTAAGTAGCTTCATGTCTGATTTAGTATCACTTAGTGTGGTTAAAATAAATTGTCGGCCTCTCAATACAATTATATTATTATTTATTATTATTATTATTATTACTACTATTATTATCACAGTTCAAATCTGAGCATGAAAGGGCTCTAGACAGACAGTGTGTCCCTTAACATGACTCTGGTATTGACTCTGACATTTCTTCTTCTTCTTCATCTTCATCATTGATGATGGGTAAGGGTTCATCAGGCACATCTGCATCCTCAACTTCCTTGATAGGCTCAGGCTGCTTTACCCAGGAGAGCAGAGAGCTGCTTCCCCGGGCTACCTGCTGTAGCTCTCTTTTCTTTTCTTATCCTGTCTCTTCTTGGCATTATTCTACAAGTGGTAAATGCAAATGAGCTAAATCAATGTACTGCTCTGCTGTGCATGATAATTAAGGGTTAATCTCCTAGAAACATTTAACAGCAGCATTAATGTAAACCTATAAGGTTACTACTACTTATATTGTACTTTATGAGGCATTTTTACTTTACTTGAGTATTTCCCATTTTCAATACATTTACTTCTACTCCACTACATCTCAGATGCAAATATTCAACTTTTACTCCACTACAATTATTTGAAAACTTTAGTTACTAGTTACTATGTAGATTTTGATTAAGATTATTACAAAACATACATTTAATCACTTCAGCCCTAGCATAATGACGCATTGTGAGCGTGTAGATCTGCTATTTTCAAAAGTGCACAACGAGACTAAATGGATGGATGCAAGAAAAGAAGTAAAGTTATAGTTTAGTTTGGCATCTGATTTAGGGGACTAAACAATACACTCGTTGTATTTGTTACCTGGTGGTTACTTACTTGGTCGTCACTAGGGCACTTTTAATCGTGTTGCTGCGTGCTGCTGCACCACACACCCGCCGTGGCCTGTCTGACTGCTCTGCGCGATGCGCGTTCACGTTGAGAGCAGGGAAGGGAGGGGCTGCAGCCAGGGCACGTACGGGAGTGCCGCGGGGCACGTGTGGGGATGTCTGACAAAATTACATCGCGTATTTGGGGCATTGTTGTATATATTAGAAGCTTTTCATCCAGAATTGATCGATGTTACCATGAGCCACATACAGTACACTGTAAAAAAATTAAATACAAAACTGTAAAAAACGAACTTTCAAAAGGGCACATTGCTGTCCTGAGCGCAAAACGGGCAGGTGCTCAAGCACTACCAGAGTCTATGTGTGCACGTCTCTGAGTACAACATATTTTTTGGATGGACACTATAATTTACAGTTTTTGTTCAATCTGAATTTTCTTTAAAATAAAAAACATCTATATTTATTCTGACTTTTCTACATCCAACTCACAGGTTTATCATTACTTTGAGAAAAAAGATTATTAATTTAACCCTTTT